CAAATGAACAGTGGAATCATGGGCACAAGGCATTACTGGACCTTGCCACAATTATACATTCAGCAAAGCAGGGCCTTGCAGTGGGGTTAAGGCAATTCACACTGCAGAAAGAAGAAACAGGTTAGGACAGTCTCAGCCTCCTTCATTCTGGAGGCTGTTGCACCCTCTGTTTCTTTGCCTAGAACATTCTTATTTGAACCCACTAAATGTAGCACTTTTATAAAATGCTTCACATAAAAAAAATTAAAGTCTGATAAGGTAGTTTATTAAAAAAACCATGCAAGTCTGTTGAACTAGCACATTTTCTTGATGACTTCAATAAAAGGCTCACATTCATAAAGGAAAGGACAGTTATGGTAGGACAGGGAGGCAAACCACTCCCAGTCATTTTTAGTACATAGCTCTTGTGAAGCTGGCAATGCCTCTGAATTTGCAATAACAGACATTAGCAGAAGTGGCACTAGACTGCTTGCTGCTGTAAGAGGAGTCAGAAAAAGCTCAGTCATTTTGATTCCATCAAAACTCTGTGTTCAGACTCAGCTCACTTCAACAGATTCAGATTTTCAGTGTTCAGGGTTCTCATCTGTAACACAGCCACAGCAGCCCGATACACAAGGAACACGTGCACACATTTTAACAATTCATCCCTGGCTTCAGTACCCTCTCTCTTTATAGATAACTGCTCTGTGAAGTTCTTTGCTATTTTATCTTTTTTTCCCATGTACTTTGAGTCTTTTTTTTGAGGCCTCTCCAACTTGTATCCTTTTTCAAATTGATTTCCTTGTACTAGAGAATGAAAGAATTACAGACAATGATAACAATGAAAAAGCTTTTAGGTTAATTAAAACTACTTAGAATTGCTTTCTTTTTTTCTTTTTTTTTTTCTTTTTTTTTTTTTTTTCCTTTTTTTATTTAGAATCTGATTTCTAGTTCTAGTAGAACTTCAGTTAAAAGGAAAGACATTCACAGAAGATATTAAGATATGAGGCGTACATACACGTTGTTCTTTCATTCTAATTCACATGCTGTTGCTTTTAGATTTGTTTAATTTCTCTAGGATTGGCAATAAAATCTGATCAACAAAATACAGGTTCTGCTGTTCAAAGATGATAACCTTTCAGAGTTACCATGTTTGCTAGGTGCCATGGTTCAAGGGAGAAACCATGCTAAAAGCTATTGCTTATCAAAATGAGATAGCTTCCCATTTCAACAGATACCCTGGAAATCAGATGCATCTGCCATTAAAGGACATAGTTTCAATTAAAACATAATTACTTACTAGACTATTTTAAACAAATTCTTATCACTACAATAAACTTGTACATATACACCACCACTCTGGCAATCTTAGTAAAATACTTATGGTAACCATCCTTTGACATACATCATGCTAGCTAGAGCACGATACTAAAATACTATCATGTTTGAAGTCTTAATTGCTACAGGAAATATAAGAGGTAAAGGTAAGGTTTAAGACAAGAAAAATACAATGTAGAATTGTTCCAGTACCAATTAAAGATGCATATTCTTATGTAACACACTTGAATCTCCGATTAGTAAACATGGAATAAGCAATATGCGAAAGACTTAGTTCAGAACCGACAGATAAGACTCTGGATTTCCCCTCAAAGCTGAGTTGATACGTTTTTTACCACTTTGGCTCTTTGGAGCCCCACAGCTCATTTCCCTGTGGTCTGCATGTGTTGTGAACAAGTACTCAAAAGCTGCTAACGCAGAGGATTCTGGTCTTCAGCCCAGTCTTGCAACACCCCACAGCTGCTGGCAGTTTTGCCATTTATTTCAAGGGAATCAGTACAAGCCTTTCAGAAACACAGCTGGGACACTTCGGTGGCTCAATCAGTGCAAGAAGTAACATTTTCCTAAGACATTCGAATAGACGAAGCAGGTAAAAGCAGGTGATACAAGACTGCTTAGTTTAGTGTCCTCTGGGGGAAAGCACAGGTTCTTATACAAGCAGGCTCCATTCTGCTCTCCATCAGGTTTTCCCACTACAAGCATTTGGATAGCACCTGTCAGACAACCTCAGCACAAGTAGAAATGGTTAAATCAAACTATGGGTGTTGTTGCAACTTCCAATAATAGGCCCACAGGGGAAGAAATTCTCAAAATAGTATGGTGTTAGCAAAAATGTGCAAGCTACACTTCTGAGCCTGCTCAGAAAGTAGGCCAGTGCCTATCCTAAGCTTATTACACCTTCAGAAATTAAATGCAAGACAGACAGAAAGGAATTCACCTAGTCATGAAACACATGACTGCATGTTATGAACACAGTCTACACAGAGAACATATGATAGTCTAAAATATCATGACTAAGATCCGCTACAAGAGGCAGGATTAATTCAGAAAGCTTCTAAAGTTATCAAAGCAGTTGTATCTGGAAAATAGACCATCAACATTTTAATATAGCATTAATGAACTTCACTTATGAGAAACATGGTGTCCAATGGAGAGATGAAGATGTATTCAACTTAATTTAGGAAATGTAAATCCTGTCTTCGAAATTTAAGACATGCATTTACAAGTATTGCATGTGCAATAGTCAAAGGTTGTTTTCCAGAAATCTTGCTTGCAGGGTTGTGAGAGCTAAACTGGGAATCTTTTGGAAAGTCAGTGAATAGATGCCTCAGACCCCATTGCCATAATTCAGCAAGTGTTTCTAGCTTGGCCAAGGACTTGGCTAGGCACACAGACCAAGCCATCTTTCCCTTCCAGTACCATGCTAAGTCATTTGGCTACTTTGTCCTCTAGCATCAGAGGATTCCATGTTCTCAGTATACATGAGTCCGATCCCCATCACAGACATTAAGTTCAGATTAGTACTTCTTTCTGCAAACTAAATTCCAGTCTATGCAAATGGTACTGTATTCACTGCTCTTGATAACTTGAAGTTGTAGGCAAGGATGTTTCTCAGAGTGGACTAAAGTACAATTAAAATCAAATATAGAATATTGTATAGAAAAGTGAACACCACTTCAATTACAGAAACTGTAATTCATCTGCAATTGCAACATGGAACAACCAAAGTATTTTGCTGAATAGTCAGTGGTGCAGGCCGGAGTCATCCCAGGCTGATGTTCTCCAAAGGGTTAGAGATTAATCTTACGCCCACAAGTAAACATGATCAGGGACTCATCTATTTAATTAAGCACGAGAGAGGGAGATGCTGATACTGGAGGCAAGGCAAAAGACTGTAGAGCACAAGAATGACAGAGGTAGCTTTCATGTTTACCTGAATACCTCTGTCACATAAAATTACCTGAGAAACAGTAAATCTCATTTGAACCTTTTTGTATGCTAATTCCAAATCCATGAGCAGGAAGAAATCAATGGATTTGATTTGGTCTGATACACGTTCAATGAATCCACCGGATGACTTTATACTACCATCCTTAAATCAAACTATCTATCCCTGTCTAGCTCTCAAATTGTGCTTACAAACTTCTTGTCAGGTAAGAGTCAAATATTTTCCTCCCTCTCTGTGTTTTTTTTGAATTAAATTTTAAATCATTACCTATTATAATAAAAATACAATCAAAAAGATAAGGAAATTAGTGGTGCCAGCACTGATCAGTGTAGTAGATTTCAGATTTGGATTTGAAAAATAAATTCTTCTTACAAAGAAAAATGGATTAAATCTTCGCATACTAAACCCATCGATATTAAAAGATAAAGCAAATCTGAGACTGTCACAAGCATAAATACATTTAAAAGGAAATTCTTGGTGTTGCATCTGTTCTTTTAGCACTCAGGAAATGTATTGCAATACATTCACTCCCTTGTTCCAGCAAAAACTGCCCAGCAAGGCCCTACATTTCTGAAATCAGACCTGGAGGACCATGCATACATGCACAGGGCAAGCTACAGCTTCTTTGTTGCCATCAAAGGATTCAAGGTCTTCAGGCAGCCCCCTTGCCTTTCTACAACTACCGTCCTGCTTCTCAGGTGCGATCTGCAACTTCCGTGGTCTAAGAGGGGACATGGGGTAAAATGATGCACTTGGCACTCTCTTTGACATTCTTAAAAAGGCTTTAGATAAGTAATAGTTCAGGTAAATCTGCGTATTGAAAAATATGTCTTTTCTAGCACCGTGTGTTTTTCACGTGCTCTCGAGGCAGAGCTTTCACATCTTTGTTGCTTCATTTTTCTGCCTGTGCAAACGCTGTCAGCAGAGGCTTTCTTCAGGAGGCAATTAAAACAATAATAAAATTAAAGTGTGAATTGTTATGCCAAAGCTGTAAAAAGTATCATGTGAAGTCCATGAGTTTAAATACATTGACTAGAGCTGTACTAGTTAATATTTCTGTGACAGCCTATAAAAAAGAAACAGAAGCAAATGAAATTTGGCTATTATTTCCTACTACAATGCTTATGCCTAAGTCCAGGATATACACACCAGCACAGGCAGAGCTGAATTTAGACTGGCATGTGCCTGGGGTCAGCAGGGCCCTAGCCAAAGACACAAGAAAAGGTCTACAGACTCGCACAGCACCATCCGCCTTCAGAGTTCACAAAAGTAATAAAAAATAAGAGTGCTGTGCTTTATGATCATCCTCTCCAGTACAAGCAGTTGTAGTAGTAGCAGAAGTCATAGTAACATTTTTACACTGCTGATGAGAACTGTACAGAATCAATGAAGTACGTGTGTCAAAAAAAGATGAATCCTGCCAGTATTGAGAAGAGCCGATGACATTTTGAAAAACTGGCAAGGTTTAGCTGCATTAAGTATCCTTCCTCACCCCTCAGGTCTGCCCCCAGCTCTGATCATCTGTTTAAACACCACCAAAATGAAGCATGATACAGTGAAGGTGCAGGGCTGATAGCAGCCTGTGGGGAAGTGGCCAGATAAGAAAAAACACAACATCAGAACAAAGTTCCGCCACCTGTTTCAGGACAGAACCACCTCCATTTTAAACTTTTTAAGTTTAAACATTTTAAGCTTTCAAAAAAAAAGTAAAAAAAAAAAAAGAAAAAGGCCCCATTTCTTGTTCTTTAGAATACCTCTAAACACATACACAAAAAGATAGTTATTACTGAAAATTTTAACCAATGCTGAAGCTGCAAAACTGTTCTTTGTTACAGTTGTTCGAATACAGAAGGGCAATTCACTGATTCACTGTAATTAATGTTTAGAAGTATTTTTCTTAAATGCTTGTGATATTTTTCTCCTCCAGTCTCAGTGATTTTTCCTGTCACTTGCTCCTCTAGTTGTGCTGATCTTTTTACCATATGTGTGCTCAAGTTTCCAATGCAGAATGTTCTCTCCCCACTGCAAGAGTCATTCCAGTCCCAACCTGGCCCAGCTTGTATCCCTTCCCAAGCTCCCTCTCTATGGGCTTAGATAAGCCATTCCTTCTTGCTCTCGTCGATGGTCTCTGTGAAGTTCGGGTCATTGTTCATGATGGCGGCATCGGCACTTTCAGCTGACTCTGCCCCCTTGGCCTCATTGGTGTGGTAGGTTCCCTTGTGGCGAAACATGTAGCGGATCAGGAACACCAACGTGCAGAGGATGGTGAAGATCACCACAGCGATGACGCCTGAGCAGAGGAGGAAAGAAAACATGCCACTAAGGAGAAGAACAGATTCTGATACAGAGGCTCACAGCTACGTGGGCAGCTGAATATCACCGCAGTTTCTTGGCTTCCACTTCTCTAAAATTTATGTTATAACAAATGAGTGGAATCTGCTGGTGACTTTCGTTCCATAGTTTACCTTTTACATTAATACCTAGTTACAGAGGTGAGCTTCATTGACCTCTAGGCAGAGGATGCTGTGTTCCTAAAATGAGGGGATGAAATGGGGATATGTTGTTGGCTGGGCAGTTACTCAGAGATAGAGGATGCTACAGCATCGTCCAGGATGAAGAAATTACATTTGCCATTTAAAAAATATCTCGTAATCAGACAGAATTATTTTATGTCACTTATGTCAAACATGTTGGGCAGCCAGATTGTTCACGCATGGTCTAAATTTTCTGAGGAATGCAATAGTATCCTCAACTGGTATAGTTGGGTACCAAAGTAAAAGTAATAAATTAAAAGTCATAATTAGTAATAATAAAATAAAAATGAAAAATAACAAATCAAAACTGAAGCAACTGACCTAAACCTGGCTATGGAATCACAGTCCTTTGTCGGGGACACGGAAAAGAAACAAGAAATTCCATTCGACTACACATTACTATACTTAGTGTTGCTTCACAAGACAAAATATCTCTCACCATCAATATGTCATTTTATATGCATTTAGAACTGACTAAAATATATTAGAATAATCCTTAAAACATTTTTATATGCCTTCAGAATTTGTTGCACTACCAAAGTTGTCTCCAGAAAGTTCTGGTGTAACACTTCAGTACAGAGGGATGGGTAGAGCAAATTTAGGTACGTATAAATTTATTCAGGATCCAAGCTGGAGACAGCTTGGTTGAAAGTCTTCAATTTAATGCTAATTTAAGATCCAAGTTCTGGCATTACTTCCCATCACCTGAGACCCTATCACACAGAATGGCACTCCCAGGCATATAAGCAGAGCCTGGCCCTTAAAAAACAAGGCAAGATTGTGAGTTATTTCTGTCAAGAGTGCGACTAATGGGTTTAGATTCATGTTGAATCTGATGTAATTGGAAAAGCGTCCTTGTCATTTAACATAAATGAATGACTCTTTTACCATAAGTATTCAAGAATAGATCCTCATAAGCATGCTTGTTATGTAGATTAAAAATATGAATATTTTGATGTGGTTAAAACTGAATATAAGGGAATAAACTAAGTAAAAACAAGCCATTTCACTAGAACAAATTACCTGAACAGAATTACACAAACTTCTTTGGTGTGATTTTCCCAAAGTCAGTTCTTAGCAAATAAACTGAATATGTCACCAACTGCAACTAAGCCTCACAGTTGTGCTGCAAAATCTCTTACGAAAGTAGACATTTTTCTCACCTCCAATAATAGCAGAGTTTCTGTTAACTCCATCTCCTATGGCTTGACCATTGTATGGGAAATCAGCACTGGCTGTAAACAGAGAATTACAGATCACGTTATAATATCAGCAAAACTTAGCGAACTAGTTCAGAAATACATCTGGCATACTTAGATCTATCTAAATAAATATGAAAGAAAATTATCTTTCACTATCATCTGACCCCTTATGACACAGGGATAAACAAAACAAAGGAGGTACCTTCAATAAGCATTGCTGTTAACACAGAACGTAATTTCGTTACTCTACTAACCTAAATATAATAAGTTTCATTAGCACAAAACCATAAATACATCTTTCTTTCAAAAGCATGAGAACACATGCAATGCTAGGTTTTGGCTGTAGGAGAAAAACTGTGTTGCACAGCAGTGCTGTACAGAGGTGGTTTCAGTTTTTCCGCCTCTCATACTGCCCTTCCAGTGAGGGGGCTGTGGGGGCATAAGGAGCTGGGAGGGAACAGAAGCAGCTGACCTAAACTGACCGAAGGGATATCCCATACGATGTGACATCATGTGAGAAAAGCTATAAAACGGAGGGGAATTGGCCGGGGGAATCTGACACTGCTCAAGGATTGGGTGGATGTCGGTCAGCAAATGGCGAGTAATTGTTCAGTGCACTGCTTGGTTTTTGTGTGTATATATATAGACAGTAATTACATATATATGAAATTATCGTCACTGTTATTTCTCTTTTCCTCCTCTGTCTTAATCTCAATCTACTTTATTTTTCCAGTTCTCCCCATCCTACTGGGAGGCAGGGGAGTGAAAGACTGTGTGTCCTTTAGCTGCTTGTCAGGTTAAACCACAAAACAATTTCATCAATTCAACAAGTCATCAAAACTTTTCTTTATAGTCAGACACAGCAACTAGATGCTGCAGTAACTGTACAACCCTAGGGAGCTAGGTGAGGGGCTGCAATAATTTGCTGTTTTGTCAGCGGTATTGATTTTGGGATAGGGAAAATGTTTTTAAAAGCCTTTCACAGAATCATAGAATCCTTGGAGTTGGAAGGGACCTCTGAAGGCCATCTTGTCTAACTCCCCTGCAAGGAACAGGGATGTCTGTAGCTAGATAAGGTTATCCAGGGCATTATCCAGCCTCGCTTGCAAGTCTCCAGGGACAGGGACATAAATCACATCACTAGGTAACATGTTCCAGTGCCTCACCACCCTCACTGTAGAAGACTTTTTCCTTATATCTAGCCTAAATCCACCCCCTTTATGCTTGAAGCCATTTCCCCTTGTTCTGTCACCACAGACCCTGCTAAAGGGTCTGTCCCCTTCTTTCCTGTAGCTCCCCTACAGATACTGAACGGCCACTATCAGGTCACCTGAGAGCCTTCTCCTCTCGAGGCTGAACAGCCCCAGGTCTCTCAGCCTGTCCCCACAGCAGAGGTGTTCCATCCCTGGGATCATTTTCGTGGCCCTTTTCTGGATGTGCACCAACAGGTCTCTGTCCCTCCGGTACTGAGGACTCCACATCTGGATGCAGTACTCCAGGTGAGGTCTCACCAGTGGAGAGCAGAGGACAGGGTCTTCTCCCTTGACCTGCTGGCCACATTTCTTTTGATGCAGCCCAGGATACGGCTGGCTTTCTGAGCTTTGAGGGCGCACTGCTGCCTCATGTCCAGCTTCCCATCCACCAGTACCCTCAGGTCTTTAAGTGCTGGGCACAATCCCTTCATGCCCATAGTTTATATTGGTAATGAAAGTTGACTAGACCCAGGTGCAAGGCCTTGCACTTGGATTTGTTGAAACTCATTAGGTGAACCTGGGCCCACTGCTCAAGCATGGCTAGGTCTCTCTGGATGGTATCTCACCCCTCCAGCGTGCTGACCACACTCCACAGCTTGGTGTCATCAGTAAACTTGCATCAACCCCACTGTTGATGTCACTGATTAAGATATTAAAGAATAATGGCCCCAGCACCAACCCCTGGTCCAGCACCAACACCACTCATCACCGATCTCCACCCAGACATTGAATCACTGACCACCACTCTTTGGACCCATCCTGCAGCTGGTTCTTCATGCATCGAACAGACCACCCATCAAATTCGTATCTTTCCAATTTGAAGAGAAGGATGTTGTGGGATGCCACCTCAAAGACCTTACTGAAGTCCAGACAGATGACATCAGTGGCTCTACCCTTGTCCATTGATGCAGTGACATCATCATAGAGGGCCACTAGGTTGGTCAAGCAGGATTTCCCCTTGGTGAATCCCTGCTGGTTCTCCTGTATCACTTCCCTGCCTTCCATGTGCCGTAGCATAGCTTACAGGAGGATCTGTTCCATGATCCTCCCTGGCACAGAGGTGAGACTGACATTTTCATTTAACTGGAAACAGTTCAAATAATCAAGGACTCTAATTCCTAATTATGTCAGTACTTAAATCCCAGCTGTATTTTTCTTGTCTGATGGATTAGGTGATATTTAAATAAGTTGATTTTACAGGCCAGTGATGTATTCACTATGCCAAAAAACTGTCAAAGGGAATTCGACTGGCTTTCTGTTAGCATGAAGCAAAAAGCACAATAACGTTCCTTTTGTATTGTGAAGAAGCTGTACAATGGAATGAATTGCTTCAGCTTGCCATGTGGCCTGAAAAGAGGTTTGTGTGTATACTCCCGGGGAACGTTGAGCCAGCTGTGTATGGCTGTCTGTGGAACATACAAGAGAACGTTTCTCAGGACTCAATGAAGGGGGACTGGCCAGCAGTTTTTGTCAGTGGCACTTGTCTATGACATTCGTTGGCACTCTGTCTTCTAAAAAATGCATTTCTGTGCCTTTCTAAAACAAAAGCTGTTCTGAATGTCAGATAAATAAATTCACAACTCCATATTAGTTTTCCTCAGAGACATCTTGGAGCACTATCCATACTACTATCCTTACAGCAATGAAAAGGAAGGACTAACAGCAGGAAAATAAATCTGAATTTTAAACTTATGCTCTTAGACCCTCAGGTAAAATCTGAAATCTAAATGTCTCCATTAAGAAAACTATTGAGTTTGCCAAATAGCTCTCTAACTTGAAAGAAGGTTCCTATCCATCATGGCAACACTGCAGCCAGTCACAAGTCCTACTGCTTCCTGCTGAGTGAATAATTTTGCTTCACTATGGTAGGTGTGATTTTGCATCTATCATTTTCAGAGGTAGGTTTTTTCATGATGCTTTCCACATAAAAGCCTCTTGCAAATTCACAAAATTGAAATGTAAAATGACTGTCAGAGTAGAAAAGTGGTCCAGAAAGTGGGTGTGGGCAGAGAAATCAGCATGTTCTGGACAGCCAGGGGATCAGGCCCAGCCAGCACAGGTTCATGAAAGGCAGGTCCTGGTTGACACACCTGATCTCCTGTGATCAAGTGACCTGCCTGGAGGGAAATCTGTTGACGTCATCCATCTTAGGCTTCAGCAAAGTCTAATCCCACAAGATTCTCCTTGGGAAGCTGGCAAGTCTATGGCTTGGATGGTTACACTCTTCACTAGGTAAAGAACTGGATGGAGAGCCAGGATCAGACAGTAGTTGTGAATGCAGTTACATCTAGGTGGTGACTGGTCACTGGACGTTCCCCAGGGGTTGGTACTGGGGCCTGTTCTGTTCAATATCTTTACTGATGACCTGGATGAGGGCATTGAGTGTACCCTCAGTAAGTTTGCAAATGATGCCAAGTTGGCAGGAATTGTTCATCTGCCTGGGGGTAGGAAGGCTCTACAGAGAGATATGGACAGTTTGGAAAAGACCTCTAAAATCATGCAGTCCAACCATTCACCTACCCCCAATATTTCCCTCTAAACCATGTCCCTCAGTACAACACCCAGATGTTTCTTAATACCTCCAGAGATGGTGATTCCATCACCTCCCTGGGCAGCCTGTTCCAATGCCTGATCACTCTCTAGGAGAAGTATTTCCTAATGTCCAACCTGAATCTTTCCTGGTGCAACTTGAGGCCTTTCCCTCTAGATCTATGGCTAGTTACATGGGAGAAGCTGATCCCCACCTCATCACAGCCTCCTTTCGGGTAGTTGTAGAGGGTGATAATAAAGTCTTTAACATGGTAATGCTATTTTGATTAATTATTTAAACTAAATTATGTTAGATACATTCTATTAGGTCAAAAACATTTTGAAAGGTTTAATTTTTATAGGAGATACTGAATCTCAAGTGTTTTTTCACTGATCAGTTCTGATGAATTACAGAAGCACAAAATGGCTGAGGTTGGAAGGGACCTCTGGAAGTCATCTTGTCTAATCCCCCTGCCATGCAGGGCCTTGACAGAAAGCTATGCATAGAGATTACGGAAAATATAAGCTTTTCCACTAAAAAATCTAATTCAACTTTTTTTTTGGTGAAATCTCTCAATCCATGCTGTTATGCCAATGTCAAATGATTATAAATTAAAAAATTCTCTGAAATGATGGCTAAATAGAAATATTGTCCTTTGAGTACTTCTGTACAAAAACATCTGTGACTGTGGGAAAGTAATTGAAGATTACACAGGAAAGAATAGTTAGAAGATTATGTAAAAATGCATGAAATTTGAAATGAAAAATAGGAGTGCTAAGAATGAATAATTACACCATTTGGGGAAAGTTAAGCAAACACTCTCTGGTCAGCAAACTGGTACAATGTAAATTCCCACCATTAGATTTCAGAATCAGCTACCCAAACAGTCGAGGTCATTGTTTCTCCACTGGGAGCTTCATCAACCCTTTCGCTTTACACTGCAGACAAGTTTTGCTGTCCACACCCCTAAGCAGAGGAGGAAATGGGAGTTTTATACAGTACAATGTTCTGTGTTTTGCTCTTAAAATGTAATCTTCCTGGCAAAGGGGCAGAAAAGCTTGTACCTTATAAAAAGACTCGGCCTTGCAGCTTACACTCCTTCAGAGCAAGCCTGGATGAAATATCAAACAGGGAACACGTTCCCTTCAATGGGATGGCTTAGACAATTCCCTCGTTTTCCTCTTTGAATGTTCATTTCCCAGTAATAACATTTACACTTTCTTCTGCCCACAAGCGAATACTTGTACAAA